AAGAAAGACAAAAAAAAAAAGGAAAAATAGAAGGAAGGAAGGAAGGAAGGAAGGAAGGAAGGAAGGAAGGAAGGAAGGAAGGGATTCAAGATGGTAAGATAAATTGTAGAATTGCTGATTCCTTGCATTTTTGCCTTCTAGACTGTAAAGAGATGGAAACTGAATAAGCCAAAGATGTTGTTTTTTAAGCTGCTGCTTTGTCATAACCCCTAAGCCTTCAACAAAAGATTTTGAATACCGCTTTTAGAACTTGCCTGCCTCCTCTTCCAAAGGAAGGAAAGGCCTTGTGAGAATTAGGAAAACCTGGTTTGGCCATTCAGTGGGACGATTTATGAAAGATGGCAGTCTGCAGGTCACCTCTGTGGAAGGGCAGGGACCTCCAGAGCTGTCCACAGTCGCCTTACACGGCTCCCACTCTTCTTTTCCAGGCTGTTATGAGAGTCGTCCACAGATCCTCACCACAGTGTATTGTAACTGTATTGTAAGCCACCTTGGAGTTGGCTGGATAGTTCCGTGAGCTAGGTGTCTGGCTGTAGAGAAGAGCCAGCCTGGGTGGCCTTGGGCAAGCTGCACCGTCCCCCAGAAGAAGGAAAGGGCAAATCCGTTCTGTCTACCTAGAAATCCCTGAAAAGTCCATAAAAAGTCGCCATAAGTCAGGATTCACTTGATGAAACCTGTCGATGAAACCACCTTGGTCCCAATACTGGGGAAAGGCAGCATGTATTGTATTTTTCCATGCATAAGACACCCCCATGGAAAGGCAGCATATACTGTATTTTTCCATGTATAAGATACCCCCATGTATAAGATCCCCCTTTTCTAACCCAAAATTAAGAAATCAAATTGGTGCTTAGCAAGTGGAGGGGAAAGCAGGGATCAAAGTCCTGCAGGATCGCATTGATCCCTGCTTCCCCCTACACTTGTTTTTGTTCTCTCAGCTTACTTCTGTGTATAAGACGACCCTCAATTTTTAGTCTAAAGATTTTAGACAAAAGTATAGTCTTATACACAGAAAAATATGGTAAATATTAAATAAATGATATAGCTAAATCAAGTCCCCAGTGGCTTGCCATTGGTCTCTTCTCATCCTGCCAGCCTTCCCAATCTTCCTTGCTTTGACGCTATTTTATTCTCATGCTGGCAAAATTGCTAAGTTGCTTTGAGTGTTTTAAGCAGAGTGAAGTGACCCAACGGATTTGTGGAACCATCAAAGTGAAGTAAATGAGCAGCTTCAAATGACACAAAGCCAGTCGCTCTTGTGGAAAAGGACTTACTAGTGGTGGCTCCAAGATTATGGGATGCCCTGCTCAGGGAAGCACACCAGGCAGCTACCTTGGTGTCTTTTCGGCACCAGAGAAAAACTTTTTTAAAAATTTATCCCACTCTAAACATGTTTAAATTTGTGTGTGTGTGTGTGTGTGTGTTTTATAGACTTTGTGCTGCTACTCATTATACTTTCATTTTAAAAACAATATATGTTATAAGTGTGTGTGTGTGTGTTTTAGATTTTGTGCTGCTACTCATTTTACTTTCATTTTAAAAACAATATATGTTATTACTATTAAATACTGTATCCCCCAATCATCATTATAACTTTAAAAGATGTGTAGATTTATGTTTTTGGATTACAACTCCCAGTTGTACATCTTGAGCTTTTTTGTACACCTCTGACACGGGTCAGAATCCTGCCACTGTAACTCCATTCAGCTGCAAATTAGAACCAGTTAAGAAAGTGGCTCTTTCTTGTCACTCAGCAGTTGTGTGTCTTGCTGTGTAACCAGAAAAAAAAACTGTGCCAACTTCTTAGCTGGCAGCAATTGGCTGCTGAAATTGACGCCAATGGTGGCCGATGGTGTTAACGCAGGGGTATATTTATGTTATATGGCCAATATATTTTTGTGTTTTTTTCAGTTGAAACTAAACACCATGAAATGCAAAAAGTATCATCTCTGACTTTCCTTCACAAAGTCTATGCGGTGAAATGAGTGTGTCTCATTTCACCACAGTCATCAATGGTTACAATCGTTTTTTATGCTGTGCTAATCTGACACCCAGATTATTATCTGTTTGTGGAGAACATATTTTGCACACATGTGCAGAGATGTTTGTCTGACTGACTTACTCTCTGACTGAGTACCCTTGCATTTCATGGCAGTGAGAGAGCCATGCTTTTCCCTTCTTTCCCCCAAGAGTCATATATAGATCATGCTTTGTGCACGTATGTGCAGCTATAGTTCATTGAAACCTACAGGCTGCGCCAAGACATGGCACTCTGTAGGGCAGAACAGCAATCCCTCTTTCTTCACCGACCAAGGCAATAGGATGCAAAAGCAAGCAGGTTCTTCTAACACTGAAATGGAAAATCTCACAAGTGTTCTTCTTTGTGAATAAAAATGGCATCTAGTTTTCCCGTCCCTCTTCTCTGTGTCAAAGGAAGGGACGGAAACTCCAAAAGCTTGCATGCAGTTTTGTGTCTTCATCCAAGTGGGTCCTAGATCAAATCAAGCCTGAAGGCAAAAATGTTGAGGCTGCCCTAGTTTGGGCACATCATACGTAAGATGGCAAGATTATCTGGAAAAGACAACAATACTGGGAAAGGTGGAAGGCAGCAGGAAAAGAGGAAGGCCAAATACGAGATGGACTGGCTCCATGAAAGAAGACACAGGCTTGAGTTCACAACGGCTGAGCGGGACTGTTGAGGACAGGACAGTTTGGAGAGTGCTCATCCATAGGGTAGCCATAAGTCAACTTGATGGCACATAACAACATCCATCTATCCATCCATTTATGCTTATAAAAGTACCACCTTCATGTGGAATTTGAACTTGTTTTCTTCTCATTTCAATGTACTGTATTTTTCCTTCTATAAGACTATACTTTTGTCTAAAATCTTTAGACTAAAAATTGACGGTTGTCTTATACACGGAAGTAAGCTGAGGAAAGAACAAAAACAAGTGGAGGGGAAAGCAACGCTTTGACCCCTTTCCCCCTACACTTGCTAAGCCCCACTTAGATTTTTTAATTATACATGGAGCCGTATTATACATGGAAAATTACGGTACTCCTCTGCATAAGGTGAGAAAGTTTGCTGCCATGGACTCTACTTTTTAAAATTGTCCTTTTATTCTACCATTGTTCTATACGCTCCTCCAGACAGATCAAAAGGTCTCCACCCTTTTTCTCTCCACTACTGGAAAAAAGCACAAGGTCATCAGGATTTACATCCAAACACACTTAAAAAAAATCCACCTCACTTCTCTGTAAGGGACCTGCTTCTTTTTAGTAATTTTTTAAAAGTTGTTTTTATAAGCAAAAAAATATATACAATGGTGGCCCGCATAGCAACGTTAATCTGTTCCAGAAACATCGCTAAACAGAACGTTTAATGCGTTCCTATGGCTCCCAAACTCACCATTCAGCGAAGTTCCTCCATAGCGCCGCCATTTTCACGCCCTCAGTACTGCCTAGGGTGAGAAAGTTTGCTGCCATGGACTCTATTTTTTGAAAATTGTCCTTTTATTCTACCATTGTCCCATACGCTCCTCCAGACAGATAAAAAGGTCTCCACCCTTTTTCTCTCCACTACTGGAAAAAAGCACAAGGTCATCAGGATTTACATCCAAACACACTTAAAAAAAATCCACCTCACTTCTCTGTAAGGGACCTGCTTCTTTTTAGTAATTTTTTAAAAGTTGTTTTTATAAGCAAAAAAATATATACAATGGTGGCCCGCATAGCAACGTTAATCTGTTCCAGAAACATCGCTAAACAGAACGTTTAATGCGTTCCTATGGCTCCCAAACTCACCATTCAGCGAAGTTCCTCCATAGCGCCGCCATTTTCACGCCCTCAGTAAGCGACGGCAAGGCGCGAAAACACTTGTGGTGGCCATTTTGGGCACCTGGCGGCCATTTTGGAACCGCCAATCAGCTGTTTAAAAAACGCTTACCGATCATCGCAATGCGGTGTTTTGCCTATTCAGAACATCGCAATGCGATCACATTAGCAATCTAATGGATTGTCGTTAAATGGTGTGCTCGTTAAGCGAGGCACCACTGTATATAACTCTTTAAAGAATATTTAAGAAATCCACTTCCCTGCTAGAGCTTCTGTGTTGGAATCTTTGAGTGGTACCTGAATAATTGAACACTTTTTGGCCAGGAGGCTCTGGCTGCTGACATGAATGAGAAGCGCAACAGTGCTAAACTTCACCATTCTGTGGAACAAAAACATGAATGAGAAGCGCTGACATGAATGAGAAGCGCAACAATGCTAAACTTCACCATTCTGTGGAACAAAACAAGGTTTAAAAAAAGAAGGTATGTAAAGGAATGGAAAATAATGGAGGGAAAGCACTGGATTAAGTGAGACAAGCCTTATGTGATACAGGTGGTAGGATAAATAGCCACACCTTCAGTGTAAAACCCAGTACTTGCAATATTCTGTCTCGATAAGCCCCAAGGAACTAAAGAATATATATATATATTGCTCTCCTTCTCTCCTACTTGACATGGTAGGTTAACCGAGGAAATAGTGACTAGCTCCATTTGCTCCAGTGAGATTCGTGATTTGATCTGGGGGGGTCTCATGTTTTCTAGTCTAACACACTTAACATGTACCATGCTGGCATTGTTGCTTCGTGTTTAGACACAATGCTGTCATGTCATATCTTTGCAAATGCCAAGCCTGTGTCTTTTCAGAGACTCTGGGAGATGATGGCAGCGTCCGTCCTCACTCTCGTCCTCAGTCTTCTCTTGGCTATTGCGTGCTGGAGTCACGAGCCTGCCGGAATCGGTTGCCACCTACACTGTAAGCGTCATGGGTTGGGAGCAGCACTCTGAATGTTATTATTTTTTTTGAAAGGAACGGATTGCATTACTCATCCCCTCTTGGAAGCCAGGCTGGCGTGATCTTTATCTTTATCTTTGCTATGATCCCACAAATAATTACTTGTGTCACCCATTACTGATAGGTGAGGTAATTTCTTGTGTCACCCATTACTGATAGGTGAGGAAGAATATAGACAATGCTCTCAGGTTCCTTCTATTGTGGTACCTTAGACACAGGGATAACCTGTGTTACGTTGTGGACAGAGTGATGGGCTAGGACTCAGGAGATTCAAATCCCTCCTCACCCATTGAAACTCACGGAGTGGCGTCACTGGTGAAACCAATAGCGAGGTTAATCCGTTCCGGATTAACCTTCGCTATAGTGAAACGTCGCTGAACGGAAATAAAAAAGCCATAGAAACAAAGTTCAATGCGTTCCTATGGCTTTAAAACTCACTGTTAAGCGATCTTCCTCCATAGCGCCGCCATTTTCGCGCCCTCGGTAAGCGAGGGCAGGGCGTGAAAATGCAGCGCGGACCTTCCGGCGGCCATTTTGGAACCGCCGATCAGCTGTTCTCCCCCGCTTTGTTATGCGATATTCGCTAAGCGAATTGCTTAGCGAATATCGCAAAGCGAAAAAATGCCATAGGGGCCATCGCTGAGCGAATGCTCCAGCGATGGCCTAGAGACCCTTGTTAAGCGATTTAATCACTCAACGGGGCGCTCGTTAAGCGAGGCACCACTGTATTTCATTTACCTTGAAAACCCTATGCTGCAAATTGGTTCGTGCTTGATGGTACATAACACACACCCCTCAGGAAGATTTATAAAAATAAAAATTTATTTAAAAAAAATTACAAACCAACCAAATAATAGTTTCCTTGGCACTCAGGACTGTGAAGAGAATGTCGTAACAATTCCAAATGGTAGGATTCCATTAAAATTGTTTTTTTAAAAAAACACCTTTGTTTCCAGAAGTTTCCACTCTGTCTTGGATTGCTTCTCTCCTCCCCAGCTTTCAATGTCACCATCAAGAGGGACCCCGGGGGCAGCTGCCACAGCACCCACACCCTCCAGGCCTGCGTGGGCTACTGTGAGTCCAGCGCCTTTCCTTCAAAGTATTCCGTCCTCCGGGCCAGCGGCTTCAAGCACAACGTCACTTCCGTCTCCCAGTGTTGCGCCATCAGCAAAATGCAGAAGGTGAGTAAGCCCACAGGGGAGCAGAGGCAGGGTGGGAAGGGGCACGTGGCCCTCTTCTCGAGGGGCCTCTCCCACAGCTGGGATGTCCAGGGTCCGTGGCTGCCTGACTCTGGGGGCAGGCACCGTTCTTCATTTTAGGGGCGCAGCAGTTTCAAACCCTTGGCTTTAAAATATCTGTAGCACTTCCAGCAGCCTTGGAAGCCATCTGGCCTGAGGACATCAAGGAGCAGATATCCGGGAGAAGACACCAAAGAACGACATCCTCTAGAACAATGGTCTTCAACCTTGGGGCCTCCAGATGTTCTTGGACTTCAACTCCCAGAAATCCTGGCCAGAAGACGTAGCACTTCGCCTTGGAAGCCATCTGGCCTGAGGACATCAAGGAGCAGGTATCCGGGAGAAGACAGCAAAGAACGACATCCTCTAGAAGTCTTGAGGAAAGCAGGAGAGATCACCTTCCTTTCCACTATATGGAAGTTTTGAACAACCAGTTCAATAGAGAGAAAGAAACTGGGAACAGAGAGTTAGCTTGTTATTACATAAGAAACTAAGAAGAGCCGTGTGCTAGATCAGGCCAAGGGCCCATCCAGTCCAGCTCCCTGTATCTCACCGTGGGCTCACCAGATGCCTCTGGGATCCCACGAGCCCACTAGATTCCTTGTCTCCTGATCCCCCTCCCCTGCAATCTGGCATTTGGAGGTCTTTTCCTGTTAAGCATGGAGATGGTACATCCCCATTGTGGCTTGCAACCTGCGATGGACTTTTCCTCAGTTAAGCCTGGAGATGGTACATCCCCATCGTGGCTTGCAACCTGCAATGGACTTTTCCTCCAGGAATCTTCCCCATCCCCTTTTTAAAGGCATCTAGGCCAGATGCTATCACATCTGGTGGCAAGGTATTAATCCACACATTCTTGCATTCTTGTATTTTTTGAACTACAACAACCAGACGGTCTTCTGGAATTGCCTTAGCTAGAATATTGGGGGGGGGGAATCAACCCTAAGCTTTGTTGCCCTGCAAAGTATTAGGGGTGCTGTAGTCTCCATAAAAGGGGCCTCCCAGAAAACTACAATTACGTTGACAACACGTGATGATGATGATGATGATACTCTAGCCAGGTCTGCCCAAACAGGACATATCGCCTCCTCCGTCCTAAATAATAGCATAATCTTGCACCCGTGGTCAGAAGCCAGGGGCTACGGAACAGACTGCCTGCCCAGGTGGGGAGAGGCAACGCTTTCTCTCTTTCTCTTCTTCCAGGTCAAGGTGCAGCTGCGTTGTGGAGGCAGTCGGCCGGAGACCATGGAGCTCTTCACAGCCAAAGCGTGCCAGTGTGACATGTGCCGCCTCTCCAGATATTAGGAGGGGCAGAGGAAACAGCCCGTCCCCTGATCTCCCAGCCTCTCCGAGGGCTGCCTGCATCTCCTCCTCGGGGCTTCTGGGACTTCCTTAAGGCAAGGAAGGTCTCAGACCTCCAACTCCTATTCGCATTATGATGATTTTCACCTCCCCTGAAAGTAATCTGTTCCAGATCAAGGAAATTAAACGTTAGCAGTTGCAACAAGGAATGGGATTTCTCGGACTACGAATGGCACAGCTCTGGGATTTCTACCTGACCAAGAGACACCTGACAGATACCTAAATATAGCACACCTGGGAGAAAAAGGCCTCATCTAGAAGGCTTTGAGGCTTAGCTAGGTCTAGCTTTGCTCCAACTTCCTGCTCCTGCCCCAGTGCTAGCTGGGAGCCGTCTTTCTGAACAGGGAACTTGGGTGGAGCTAGGCCGAGTAAGGGTCTGCCGGGCGGTGTGGAGCCCTCCAGAAGTTGATAAACTCGAACTCCCGCTATCCCTACCAGACTGATGGACGTTTTAGCCCAAAATGGTGACCTATGGGATTTGTAGTCCATCAAATCCTAAAATCCCATCCCTCTTTACAACATGAACTAATATGTCATTACCTTTGGGGGTAACGAGGTCCATCTCCCCACATTTCAACACGCACCAAGTAAACCAGATTTTGGTTGAATATCAGGAAAAACTTCCTGTTAGAGCAGTACGGCAGTGGAACCAGTTACCTCAGGAGTTGTTGGAGGCATTCAAGGAAAACTTGGATAATCAACTGGCAGATGTGCTTTGATTTTACTCATTAAATATGGTAGTGCTAACATAATGCTCTTTTTAGAAATCCAAGTACAGTGGTGCCCCGCATGACGACGATAATACATCCCATTGAAATCGCTGTTTAGCGAAATCGTTGTCATGCGAAAACCCTTTCCCCATTGGAATGCATTGAAACCCAGTTTAATGCGTTCCAATGGGGAAAATACCTCGTCATCCAGTGAAGATCACCCATAGGGAAGCCATTTTGCGAGCGCCGATCAGCTGTAAAAATGGCTGCCCTGCAAAGCATGGGTCCGGAAAACACAGGGCAGCCATTTTGCGAAGCCGGCGATCAGCGGGAAAAAAAATCGTTGTCTTGCGAACAAATGGTTCATGAAGCACAGACCTAATCGACGTCCAGCGAAAATCTCCCATAGGAATGACTATTTTGTGAATCGCTATAGTGATCACAAAAAGTCATCGTTACGCGGATTCGTCATTTAGCAGGGTTGTCGTCCTGCGAGGTACCACTGTAATGAGAATTTGAGCCTAATTTCAGACTTTGGTTGTATCACATAAATGAGGGAGTCTGAGTGAACCCAAAAGCTAGGCTGAGTGAGCTGCAACATGGAATTTCTACCATATATTCCATATAGAATTTCCCATCATCTGTTATCATTTGGCAGATAACCCATTGGATGTGAGCCTCTGATGGATCGCCAGTTGTTGTTGGGCTAGAATGCCCATCAGTCTTAACCAGCATAGTCTGGTGGGGATGATGGGAGTTGGAATCCATCAGCATCTGAAGGGCTTACACACTGCCTAGCTGTTGATTTAATGTTAACATTTAGAAAGGGCATCACACACATCTGGAATGCACATTTTGGAAGGTTTTAAGACTTCAAGTTTGTTAAAACTGCAATCAAAGGAGAAATTATCAAAAATATGGGTGTTTTACTAAAAGACTGGCCTCACAGTAAGGCTGCGGAAGGGCCCCAGTCAACGCACTCCATCCTACCAGCTTTTCAAAAGTTAGAAGACACTGTAAGGTTATAAGAAATTGTCTGTTTAAATAAACTAGCTCGGTTTGTCCACCCAGCTAAAGAGATAACCAGGAAAGGGCTGTGCGGTTACACAAGGTTACACAAATGTAAGAGCAAGTGATAGCTTTTATTGTAGGACTAAAAAAATCAAACGAATTGCAAGCTTTTGTGGAGAAAAAAAGCCACAGAGTTTTTCACTCACTGAACAATACAAGTGGAGAAACAGAACAAGGAGATAAAAAGCCACAGAGTTTTTCACTCATTGAACAATACAAGTGGAGAAACAGAACAAGAGGCACCAGCCTTTCTTCAAATACTTTTGCTCTTTTAATTTTTTTTTTAGATGAATTCAGAGAGAAGGGCAGTAAAGAAAGGCCCATCAGTTCTGCTTTCTCTCACATCTGACTTGTGCAAAACTGGGTAAAGTTTGATCAAAAATGAGAAGTGTAATTCTCGCCCATTCCCACAAGGCAACAAGATAGTAAGCGTTAAGTTTTGGATGCCGAGATTTGGAGCTCCATCCAGCCGAAAACAGCTGCAGGGTTTCCAATTACCTCTCGAAATAAATGAAGAGACACCACTGGGGGAAATGAATCTCATACTTGGCCTTTATCTGACGCATTTGAAGAAAAAGTCCTGCCAACAGCTACGCCGAGCTGCCGCCCACCGATCCCGAGATACAACCCGCCCAGTTATTTCAACTGGGAAAGCAGCAGCACCTGTGTAAAATTCTGGGTTTCTAGGTCTTACTATCTGGAAAGCTTTTGGGACCAACACAGCTCTAGAAAAGATAAGACATAAATTGGGGGGGGGGAGGCATCAGAAGAAAAGAGCAAGACGCACACAAAAAATGTCACCACTTGTGTGCTGTCAAGTCGATTCCAATTTATGATGACCCTTTTCAGGGTTTTTAAGGTAGTGAGTACTTGGAAGTGGTCCCCCCTTCCCTTCTTCTGGGGGTGTCCTGGGACGGTGCAGCTTGCCCACGGCTACACAGGCTGGCCCTTCTCCCAGGCGGCCCAGTGGGGGGAATCGAACACCCAACCTTTGCCTCTGCAGCCAGACACCGAAACCGCTGAGCTACCCAGACAGCCGAGCCACCTCTCGCGTTCCAAAAGGCCACGGGCCAGATCCTCTAGGGCAGGAAGGGATGGTAGGAAATGGGGGTGACCTGCTTAGACCGCCCCGCCGATCGAGAAACAATGGGCTGATGACCCGCCGAGGAGTGTCGAGGGTCGAAATTAAATATTTTATTGCTCTTCTAGCAATCCAGACCGCCGACACCAGTTTCATCGATGGGAGGACGACTGAGTCAGCGACCCACCCGGCGCGAAGCTCCTGAATAATACCATAGCAAATAAGCTGTGACATGAAAGTTTCTTTTTATTGAATACAGACTCGTCCAGCAAAAGGAACACAGGGCAGGGGGGGGGAGGGTTCATGGTAGTGAATTTTTCAATAAATAGACCAATGCCAACCCCCCCCGCCCACCAACTA